TTCTTCTTCTTCTTCTTCTTCTTCTTCTTCTTCTTCTTCTTCTTCTTTTTGTGACAAGGTCTTACCATATAGCCCTGATTGGAATGGAATTTACCATGTAGACCAGGACAGTCTTGAACTTATAGAAATTCACCTGTCTCTGATTCCCAAATGCTGAAATTAAAACTGGTTAGAATATGATTTCCCCCAAAATATTATAGTTAGTGACTTCCATTCAGTCACTGACTTTTCTGTAGTTTATCCAGATCTAACATGGTGAAACATATTAGCAGTATATGTAAGCCACTTTCAGACATCTCAAACCAAAAGGGAAAACTTATTTTAAAAGCCCTCTCATAATATTTGCATTCCAACTTGGAACAAGCACACCCTACTCTTCTAACTTCAGATGGTCTGTCATTTAGTCTTCCTCTTGTAGATGAATCCCAACATTACTCATAGTTTTCTATGCATAACGTTGTGTGGAAATCTACCTCTCTGCTCTTTTTGGTTTTGGCTAAAACTTAAAGCCATGCTGTGCACAGCTCTGACACCAGGTGTGTGACCAGGAAAGCGGACTGAATGGAAGGATGGGTTGATAGAATTTTTGGGAGGCCAGTATTGCTGGAACTGTTAGTGTGTTTCTTTCACTTCAGCAGTTCCATGTCTAGGAATTTAAATGTAGTTCACACTTAAAATGATGTTCACACTACAGCACATTTTGTAAGATCAAAATCACAACTGAAACAAATGGGAGCCTTCAAAATAAGCAGTTATGTCAACATCAGTTAAATATGACACTCTTAGGTATGCTGGTTACTCTCAGTGAAATGTTCTGTGGCTTTTAAAGCTAGAATGGATATGCTAAGTATGTATGTACATAGATTGGGAGAAATGTTGTATAAAATGTAATCTATTGCTTTTGGACAGATAATTGACAATGTCCTAAAGAATCACGGGTGTCTGTAGCAGGGTGGGAGGAAGACTGAACTTTTGTTCCCTGAGTGATTGGAGCTACTTCTGAGTACAGTACACTACCAAGTCTACCTGTGCTACTGGCCTCAAGCTACAGAGGGTGCTGGTCTGCCAGAGGCCTGCTGACAAAACTCGCATTTCCGGTGCCTAGTATGGCTTCGTCGGCAGGCCACTACGCATGCGCAATAGCGAGGCACGAGACTAGGAGTTCGTTGATCCGTTTGTGTTCTGCATCCAGCTACTCATGCAAGGAGGTCGTCGTTCTTGCTGTTAGGGCTGCTCCGAGGTAGTGGGCGGCATCTCAGCGCCCACATGATGCAGGGTTGTTATGGACGTTGCCGGACGTGCCCTACTGAGGAAGAAGGGAAGGAACCATGTCCAGAGCAGGTTAGGGGTTTTGGTTTGGCCTCGACCTTTCCTGCGCCTCCACCGCCATGGATCTTAGTGTTCTCCGGGACTGTCCTCCACCTACCAGTAGTCCCAATTTATCCATACAGGTCTCAGTCTGTGGAGCTTGGGCCTGCATGGAATGTGGGGCACCGCTGCTGGTATTGGGACGCCCCTTTTCCACAGTCCTCAGATTGTTTTAAGTACTGACCATGTGAGGGATCCGGTCTGAGTAGGACATATTCTGCCCTCGTGGCTCTTCGTTTCATCTCTACACATAAGTAGCAACCTGAAGCCAGGCATGATTCAGGCTGTCCATTCCCTCTTTTCATACTTTAGTAAGTCCTTGTTTATCCCCCGAAAATATTTCGAATTTGTCAGCTTACCCGCTTCGGCGTCTTGGTGCAGAATTTGCCTGACATAGCTGCAGACAAGTTCTACAGATGAACATTCATTTATTTACTCCTTCTTTCCAATCTACTCTTCACGTTTATGCAGTTATTTTAAAACCAAAATGAAGTTGAAATTGGGAGACAGGTCAAGTTAAAGTTAAAGCATTGCTTTAAGAGTTTAAAAAAACAAGCGAACCCCTTGTGGTTTGTAACATAAGATGCTGGTGCTCTGGGGTCCTCTTCACACAGCCCTCTCTTGCCACTCAGTCCTCACTTTTACGCTACCTTTATGGATGACCTCTGGTTAGCTGTCATGAAGGTACAGAGGCCAGCTCAAGCCTTACTCTCCATGGTGGTCCGTAGTGTGACTGGAGTTCAAGTTGTCTGTCCACGGGAGAACCTGGGGATTTCTACTGACAGAATTGGTGTCAGTGGTGTGAAGACTGAAAATACAGCGTAGTGAAAGACTAGAACTTGGGATCTTTCAGCTGGTGTTTATTTCTTCTTAGTGTTTTCATTAATAATGTTAGTTAGCCAACAAAACACAGGGGTTGCTCTTGTTCACTCCCCACTATTCTGTGTCCTTTGCTCCTCCCACTGGTTTCTATCTCCCAAATTGTCAACCTTGCATGTTCAGGCGTGTGTGTGTGTGTGTGTGTGTGTGTGTGTGTGTGCATTTAAACCTATGTACACACACAGTTCCATATGTGAGAAAATCCTACTTGTCTTTCCTCTGTCTCCAGTCTCATCTCTTGTTGCCCCTCCCCTCCTCTTAGAACCTTTCTTCCTCTGACATAATCCCAGTCCTGCTCACATGCCCTTCATGTCTCCTTAGTATTTGGCTCCAGGCCGTTTTTATCAGGTATACAGACGTTCTGACCATTCCTGATTTGGGGTATTGTTCTTATATTTGGAGACCACTACACTGTTTTATTGCCTTGTGTCTATTTTCCAGATATTAAAACAGGGAGAAGGAAAGTAGAGGTGGTTCTTAAGAGTTGTATAGGTTGAGTGGCAAAAGTCAGGGCAGAGAGAAGGGACGTGTTGTATGGGATTGGCTTTCTATCTTAAAGACACCTTCAGCCCATGAAGAGAAGAAGGCTAAGTTGCAATTTGGTCAACAACAATCCTATGTAACAGGTGGGAAGACTGCGTCCAGCGGACAGAGGATGACTGGGACTCATTTTGCTGCTTTCGAAGTTCGTTTGTGAAAGGTGAGTGAAATGAATTCAGGATTCTTTCAGAAATGCACATTCCCCATATAGAATGCCAGTTCTCAACCAGATTGCTAACACATTTACCCTTCTTATAATAAAATGGCTCTGTGATATTACTTTGTTAACCAGAAATGAAACTCACAGATCAATTTGATCTACTTTCATGTAGTTTCAGGAAAAGACATGATTGTAATGCTCTAACATAACGAATAAACCAAATTTATGATAATGTGTTTCAGTATGTGAACACATTGACTTAACTAGACTAGAAACATAAATAGTTCATTATCCTGTGTCAGAAAGGTGATTGCTACTGGAAATTCAATGAAAATTAGAATTGTGGGGAAGAAAATGTTACGAACATTTGTGAAATGGAATTAGTTGCAAAAACGTAGATAAATAGGAACTTTTTCCGCTATTTTTGTTCTAATGTTGAAATTCTCAGCTTATTCAGATGTGGGTCACAAATAAGCACAGAATTGCAGTGTGTGTGTGTGTGTGTGTGTGTGTGTGTGTGTGTGTGTATGTATGCTTTTCAAGGATGGAAATGTACCCACTATTATCCCAGTATGTTGAAGACAGAGCCTAGAGAATGACAGTTTCAAATCCAACCTGGTCTTCATAGTAAATTCCAAACCAACCTGGACTACAGAGTAAAAATTGCCTTAGAAAAGTTCAAAATTAGGGTTTGGAGATAGGTCAGGAGTACGAATCCTTGCTATCCTAGTGTGAGGACCTCAGTTTGAATACCTAGCATTTGTGTAAATAGCTAGGCATGGCTGCCTATTTCTGTAACAGCAGTATAGAAGTTGACAGGGAAGACAGATTCTGAGAGCTTGCTGACCAACCAGCCAGTCTAGCCAAAATGATGAGCTTCCCTTTCAATGGTAGATCCTATCTTATTCAAGGCTGTAGAGGAAGTAGAACAATAGAGAAAGACACCCAGCATCCTGCTCTGCCTTCTACATATCTGTGAATGACTGTGAGTCCATACATGTGCATATATGACATATCCAACCTCCAAGTTCCCTAAGACACTCATACCTTCCTGAAAGTGAGCTTCCTTTCTTCCAAGCTCTGGAAGAGATACCGTAATGGAGCTTCCAGGAGAGTAAAAACTGCCCTCTGTACAGGTGGAGTTTTTTTGTTGGGATCTTCGCTGGTCAGCTCTGTCCCACCAGTCAGCTCTGTCCTGACAGCTGTTCCCAAATAATCACAAAGAGACTTAATATTAATTATAAATGCTCAACTGATAGCTTAGGCTTATTACTAACTAGCTCTTACAACTTAACCCATTTTTTTTTTATCTAATTCTACCATGTAGCTTGGTACCTTAGCATGGCATGTTCATCTCCTGCTTGCTCTGTATCTTCTGGTCACTCCTTGCAACTCCGCCCTTCTTCTCTGTGCTCTTTTTGTCCACAAGTCCCACCCAGCATCCACCTGTCCAGCATTTGGCCAGTCAGCTCTTTATTTACCAATGAGAGTAATACATATTTATAGTGTACAAAGATTGCTCTACAGTAATTGTGTGTGTGTTTGTCATTGTGTGTTCATCTCATGGGGCCAGAATAAATGCATAGTGTGGTTGGTATAAGACTTGTGGTGGATAATGTCCTCGTGGGCTCATATAGTTGAATATAGTTGGTCTCCAGTTGGTGGATCTATTTGAAAAGGAGGAGGAAGAAGAGGAGGAGAAGGAGGGGAAGTAGGTTTATCACTGTTGGTAGTCTTTGAGGTTTCAAAAGCCCTTGTCATTCCCAGTGTTCTCCCTCTGCTTCTTGCTTGTGAATCAGATGTAAGTTCTGAGCTACTGTCCCAATAACATGCCTGCCAGTCTGTTTCCATGCTCTACACTCTTGATAATGATGGACGACTGAGACCTAGATTAAATGTTTCTTTCATAAGTTGCCTTTACTATGGTGTTTGTCATGGCAGTAGAAAACTACGATGGGACTTTTTTAAAAGAAATACTTTATTCATTAAATTTACTTATTCTGCTTTTTGTAGGTTTTGCCTGCACGTTTGTATGTACACAGTATGCATGTTGATGCTCACAAAAGTCAGAAGAGTGCACCAGATGCCCTGGAACTGGGTTATAGATGATCAGGAAACTGCTGTGTGGGTGCTAGAGATCAAACCTCGGTCCTATGTAAGAGCAGCAAATGTTCTTTACCTCTGAGCTGTCTCTGCAGCCAAAGACAGGACTTAACAAAGGGTTGTTCTCTTTTACTTCACTCTCTGACAGAACTTCTGAAGTGTTGTAATTCCAAAATAATGTTTTTCTCCTTTGGATCATTTTTTTAAAATTGACAGTAAAATTAGGAGCTAGAACTGATTATTAATTCAACATGTATGAAGCAAGGTAAGTGGAGTGCATTTTAAAAAGATTTTTTACTTGTGTGTGTTTTTCATATGTGCCTGTGTGTACATGTGTGTGCATGAGCAGTATATGTCTATGCTGAGGCCTGCATGGGCTTATATGTAGATTAGAGCATTTCTCTGTGTGTCCTTTTTATGACTCATCCTCTCTTCTTAAGCAGGGCCTCTTCTTCCTGAACATGAAACTTATATTAGTCAGGGTTCTCTAGAGGAAAAGAACTGATAGAATGAAAGAATAAATGTCTGTCTCTCTGTCTATCTATCTATCTATCTATCTATCTATCTATCTATCTATCTATCTATCTATC